AAGCTTCAAAAAGGGAGAATCTAGAAGTTCAATGTAGAAGTAATTTCTTTCAATAAATTCATCAAACACTTGTGGCACAAAAAGTGTTACCTAAAAATGTAACAAAACCCAATTAAAACTAACTTAGGTTTCAGGTAGCAGCACCCGCATGCCCCATATTAAACCCAGTTCTATTAGAAGTGTTCTTCTACCAAGAAGAGGCAAAAAGAAAAAGCAAGAAAACCAAATGAAAAAAAAAACTTAAATCAAATTTAACTGAAGATTTAACCAATCGTTTAGACCACAAATTAAAGCAGAAGTATTATATTGATACAGGTTGCATATGAAGACAAAAATGCAGAACAACAGAAGAGAAAATCCAAAATAAATAACAACAATAACAACGGATAATAGCAGACAAAAAAATGAAATAAAATAGAAGAAAAATTGAAAAAAAGAATAGCTGACACACTAACCTGAACCTTGTAACACCCAAAGTAGAAGACCCATAAATGTAGATACTTCAAGCAAGAAACTGATAAAATAGGAAGAAATCCCTTAAAAAAAAGTAATGAACAGAAGATTGAAAGAGAGGAGGATGAACTGAAAAAAGTGGAAGAAGATTTAAGAAAAAATTGTGGTAAAACCCCAAGCCGAGAAGATGAAGGGAAAGTGAGAGAGTTAGGAAAGGAGATGAAAGTGTGGACGGTTCTAGAATTATGTGGTAGTGTGTGAAAAATAAAATGACAATTCTATCCTTGGTCGACCAATCATGGCTTTTCTATATAATAGAAATGTTGGTGGTTCTCTTGTTTCATGATCACAAGTTCTTCTCCGTAAAGCTTTTGCATACAGAAATTTGGTAGGATTGTGATAGTTTATTGTTCCTTATTAATTGTTCATTCGGTGGTAATTACAGCCCAGGTACCTTGAGATTTTAATGCCCCCATTAATTGAAAAGTGGCAGCAACTTCCAAATTCAGACAAAGATCTCTTTCCACTGCTGGAGTGTTTTACCTCGATAGCTCAGGTAGTTGTAACTGCTTATGGACATTTAACTTTATCGAGTCAATGTAGTACATTTTATGGTTAATTTCTCCTTGTGAGCTGATATATCAGTGATAGATAATATAAAACCGTCTCGTTTGTGTTCTCTTTTACCCACATCACAGTGGACATGAAATTTGGGGTAATTACCCCAGGAGAATCAGAGATTTAGGAAAATGAAGTTCGAGGCACTACTTGTTTATGTGACTTGAGTATAATGTACAAATTACTTGAGTATTTTCCTCTGGTATAATAATTTTTTTTTTTTTTTTTTTACCGCAATCCTTGGCTTAATCCAATAGTTAACTTAAAGCTAGAACACCCATGGTGGGTGGCTCGGTTGCACAAGGGCAGAGTGGTGATTCAATTGGCAATGCTAACCCACCCATGGTGGGTAGCTCGATCACCAAGGGCAGTCTTCGTGTTAATCTTTGATTTTAAAGCCAGCGCAACCCAAATGGCAGTTTGAAACTCCCATGGTGGGTGGCTTAATACCACCGAAGTGGTAATCTTTAAGAAAGTTATGCTCTCCATTTAACAGTTTTTCCATTGTTTGAAGTTTGAACTATATGGCTGCTTGTTGCACTTACATTATACGAATCCATGGTTTGAAGTTTTCCATGCAGATTTAGATGGATATTTGAATTTAAGAGTTTGGTTTATGGAACTTATGATTTTCTGGTTTGTGCCTGAGTTGCTACTTATGGGATATGTTGAATTGAGGCATTTGGATTTAGAAACATTGTTCCCGTGGAGTACTACCTGTCTGATCTGTGTTTTGAGTATTCCTGTGGGATAGTTGAGTTTGAGACATTAGGTTCATTCAAGGGCTCTTTGAGCATCAAGAGAACGCACTGCTGTAAATACTGTATTTGCCAACATATAGGACATTAACTCTCGTGGCGTGACGGGATTACATAACTGCCACTCTTGGATACGTAGCATGCATTTGGTCTTGATACTCCTGCTGCTTTTGTTTCTTGGAGATTAATATTTGGTGGATTAGCTGTTATGATGCTTTCCTTTCACAAGTTTTAACCTGATAGAAGTTGTTTAATATGTTCCTTTTTAGGGTAATTTTTTTAATTGTAGGTCATTGAATAGTGAAGTATCGTAGGTCATTGATAGTGAATCTACTATGCCTCTGAGTCACATTTGCCTCTTAAGCTGCGGAGAATTATTAGAAGCATTTCTTTAAGTCTTATCTTCCTTTCATCCTATGTATGCTTCAGAGTGGCCTTTAGTATTTTATTGTTTGGGTGTTTCAGGAACTTCACCAGTGTAGAAAGAAGAAAGGGGAACATTACTTAAAGAATCTAGCTGATAAAGTTTGAATACATTTTAAAGCTAATTTTGCGCCTAGGTGGTAGGATGTTCATCAATCTAATGACTTGAATAAGGTAATATAGGTATACATTATAATCACCAGAAATCTCAACTTCTCAGTAAGTGCTGAATCCTAACCAGACTTGCTAAATTTCAAACAGTGACATTTGCTTTAATTTATTATGTGAGTAGCACTGAATGTAGCTTTGTCAGACTCTTTTTAAAAAGTATTGATGGAAGTAATCTGCTATGGAATGCTATGGTATAGATAATACATTTTTCTTCTTTCAGGCTTTGGGTACTGGATTTGCACCATTTGCTCAGCCCGTATTTCTGAGGTGCATAACCATCATTCAGTCACAACAATTGGCAAAGGTTTTTCTTGATATGATGTCTTAGTTGCTTTTTGAGGCTCTGGTTTTTTTTTATTTTTTATTTTTTATCCCGTGATAACCATTAGCCATTGCTTCGTAGCAAAGGTAAGTTTCTTAGCACTAATGGTGAGTTGCTGTTAGAATTGTTTCTGTTTAATGGTCCAATTCACGCAGCCTCTCCTGCATGCATGAAAACATGGACAGAGACACACTGGGAGAGGGGAGGGAGTATTGTAACTGTGATCTCCATCTTCTCGTGTTTGTTTCTATTACTCTCTGGATTTTCCAAGTTTCCTGGAACTTCGTCATCCTGTTCGGAGTTCTGTGTTTGGTTTAGGATTGAACGTTTTGTTACATTAACGGTTGGGTTTAGCCTTTCTTTTCAAGGTCGGAGGGTAGCCATGCTTCTTTCAACTGTTTGCTGCATGTGTTTGATAATCAATTTGCTTATATTTTGTTTTATGAGATATTCTCTCTTCACTTTTTAAATTCCAATTGCAGGTTGATCCTGTTTCAGCTGGTTTTCAATATGATAAAGAATTCATTGTTTGTTCTTTGGACCTGCTCTCTGGACTTGCTGAAGGTCTTGGTAGTAGTATAGAAAGCCTGGTAATTCCTTTTCCTATTAAACTGACTATAGATGTCTTTCTGTGTGTTTTATTGTTGCTGGTTGTTATCACAAATTATTGGAGGTGAGAGGAAGGGACTCTAAAGTTCACAAAGAGGGTTTATGTGATGCCTTTGAGTTTGAAGTTGCTTTGTTATTTACGCAGGATTATTATTTGATAAACTGAGGTGTATCTAGTGTAGTGGCTATTTGATTAATGTGTACCTTTGGGAAAAAATATATCAGGGTATTGTTTAATGAACAGATCTTTTGATGCCAACTCTGATTAAGCATTTGATGCTATCTTCTTTCCGTTCATAATACATGCCAATGTTGATCTTTGACACTTCTGTACTGTCAGCATTTAGATAATAAGCGGCCTGTACATTTTAACATTATGCTCAATGAGGAATAACTTTGCAGGTTTCACAAAGTAATTTAAGGGATTTGCTTCTGCAATGTTGCTTTAATGATGCTCCAGATGTTCGGCAGAGTGCCTTTGCATTGCTTGGTGACCTTGCAAAGGTAAGTTATTGTAATTCACCAATACCGATTATAGGGTGGTTACATTGAATTTCAATGACAAGTCGACTGCTTTGGAAATGCAGTCTTGCATTTTAATTCACTGCTATCTTTGGTGATTGCAAGTAGGTTTGTCCTGTTCATTTACATCCTCGTTTGGCCGAATTTCTTGATGCTGCTGCTAAGCAACTGGTGTGTGTAATATTTATGTCGATCTTTAATTAGCTCTCAACATTTCAATTTCTTGTATTTTATCTATGGTATGCTTGTACAGAACACTTCCAAGCCAGTTGAGAAGGAAACAATTTCTGTGGTCAACAATGCATGCTGGGCAATTGGAGAGTTAGCTATCAAGGTAGGTTTCGGCAAATTGCATTGCTTCCTAAGGTCATATGATTTAGATAAGCTTAAGTTATGAATGTAAATAGAATGTGAGTTATACATGAAGACAAGAGAATGTTATCTGTTTGAGTTTTTGAAAATTTAGGGATGCCAATGGGGTAGCCTGAAGCCTTAGTGAGGCGAGGTGGGACCGGAAAGGTTGGG